CTCTATCTATCTATCTATCTATCTATCTTCGAGATTTGAAACGTTTCCTGTCATTTGGAATATCTCAAGAACGCAGCTCTGGCAAACAATCAGAGCGGCCCTTAATGCGTATGCTTCAACAGACACTCTCCCGTGGGGTTACGCACAATCCGCAGGTGGCTGATGCATTCACATTATCCAAGTGAGCTGATGATCCACGCTTCGTCCAAGGATCTTTGCCAAAATATCTCATCATCCATACCTGTCAAACCCACCACCCGTCAAAATTTGACATCATGTGATTTCTGATTTTTCCAAATATTCAAAATCCCGATAGAAATAGCACGGGCAAGATAAGAAGCTCACCATGGCTCCAAAAAGTATTTGCAGACACTTTTGAAAGTGGAAGCGATGCTAACATAAAAACTGTATGAGTTCAATCCCAGGTGTATCACTTTGGACTAATGATCTATTACGGCAGGCTATTTGATAGACCCGGAATACATAGATGCTTAGGACGGTAGATGTACTGGAATAAAAAATACTGTTTTTAATAAAAGCAGAACTTCTACTCGAATATGAGTATCCACCAAAAAAAATAAGGTTTTAACAAAATGAAATTATATATATATATATATATATATATATATATATATATATATATATATATATATATATATATATATATATATATATATATACAGTATAACTCGTCAGGTGTTTCATTACTAGTAATTTTTGACGTTCAGTTGGAGCAGTTTAAGTTTAAAGTCAGCCTACCTGAAAATCAATATTAGTAACAACATTTGGGTGGAACTGAGGCACATCCCCAAAGGGGGGTGGGAATATGAATGTGGGGGGGGCCTTCAAAAGGGCCGTTTTTGCGTTCTCAATCTTGCAAGGAAGGAACCGATTTCATGGACCGTCATAATAATATACGATAATTTTTATTTATAATATAATTTTTTTTATAAATCTAATAATCTTTAGCGTTAGGCTTCAGCTCTCTAAATTGATTGTACGCCGTTTTTTACAGACATTAAATTTTGTCTTTGATTTTTTCGCAAAGTGTAAAAAATTTTTTTTTTTTTCGATTTTTCACCTTCACGCATACATACATACATACATACACACACATTTTGAAAATTATACATACATATATATATATATATATATATATATATATATATATATATATATATATATATTTATATAAGAAAAGGTTAAAATGCCAACCAACCTTGCAACCGGGTTTCGAGTGTAAGGACACCTCAGGCAAGTGATAACTGATTAAAAATAACATTCACGAATTCCTTCGAAATACATATATATATATATATATATATATATATATATATATATATATATATATATATATTTAATGAGATTGAAAAACAAAATACAATAGTATTTTGTTGGTAATTTTCAATCGCCTCATAAGATGCGTTGTAAGCGCATCGAAACACCATTGCAAGTGTCTAGCGATTTGGACATGTTTTCGATGTATTATGCAAAAATAAAGAATATTGCTCTACTTTCTATTGAGCCCTCTTTTAAATTAAACCTTACCTACGTTGGAATTGTATTCTATTAGTTCTCAGCTTACCTATATATATATATATATATATATATGTATGTTGGGGGGGGGTGCATACACACGCGAGCGCACGCATATATATTGAGAGAGAAAGAGAGAAAGTAGAGTCACTTTCTTTCCATGCTTCATTCATTCACAGTTTATCTCCTCTTCTTTCTTTTGATCTTTCAAATGTTTTTTTCTTTCTTTCTTTCTTTCACTTTCTTTCTAAACTTTTTCTTTCTTTCTTTCTTTCTTTCTTTCTTTCTTTCAAAACTTTTTCTTTCTTTCTGTCTTCCTTTCTCTTTCTTTCTAAACTTTTCTTTCTTTTTCTTTCTTTCTTTCTTTTCTTTCTTTTTCAAAACTTTTTTCTTTCTTTCTGTCTTCCTTTCTCTTTCTTTCTAAACTTTTTCTTTCTTTCTTTCTTTCTTTCTTTCTTTCTTTCAAAACTTTTTCTTTCTTTCTGTCTTCCTTTCTCTTTCTTTCTAAACTTTTTCTTTCTTTCTTTCTTTCTTTCTTTCCTTCTTTCTAAACTTTTTCTTTCTTTCTTTCTTTCTTTCTTTCTCTTTCTTTCTAAACTTTTTCTTTCTTTCTTTCTCTTTCTTTCTAAACTTTTTCTTTCTTCCTTTCTTTCTCTTTCTTTCTAACCTTTTTCTTTCTTTCTTTCTTTCTTTCTCTTTCTTTCTAACCTTTTTCTTTCTTTCTTTCTTCCTTTCTCTTTCTTTCTAACCTTTTTCTTTCTTTCTTTCTTTCTTTCTTTCTTTGTCTTTCTTTCTAAACTTTTTCTTTCTTTCTTTCTCTTTCTTTCTGAACATTTTCTTTCTTTCTTTCTTCCTCTCTCTTTCTTTCTTTCTTTCTTTCTCTTTCTTTCTAAACTTTTTCTTTCTTTCTTTCTTTCTTTCTCTTTCTTTCTAAACTTTTTCTTTCTTTCTTTCTTTCTTTCTTTCTTTCTTTCTTTCTTTGTCTTTCTTTCTAAACTTTTTCTTTCTTTCTTTCTCTTTCTTTCTAAACTTTTTCTTTCTTTCTTTCTTCCTCTCTCTTTCTTTCTTTCTTTCTTTCTCTTTCTTTCTAAACTTTTTCTTTCTTTCTTTCTTTCTTTCTTTCTTTCTTTCTTTCTTTCTTTCTTTCTTTTCGCAGCCATTCTTTCCCTTCTGACAAGCGCTAAAAAAATCCATCTTTTTCTCTTCTATCAGCGTCTCCATTGCAATTAATTCCTTGACCTTCTCCCAACCTTTTTCCGGGACATTTAATCGACAGATTCTCCACCGTCAGGTCGATTATTGATTTTATTTCTATTTTTTATTCTTAATCCTAATTTCGTTATCATCATTCGTCATTAGTTATTTATTTAAAGAAGAATTTTATCTTTGGCCCGATGTCATGTGACAGCAAATCAAGTCAATTTACTCAAGGTCTTTTGAATTTTTCCTTCTTCTTCGGTATCTCTTTATTTAACTACTAATAATTACTGACTGTAGCAACTGGCTGAGAAGCCATTCAAACGAAGCATACTCGATAGGGTAGGAACTGTGATTCACTAGGAATTGCGCAAATAGAATCGACTCGACTGAGGAGACGACTTAGATACAAGACAGATTTTTCTTAGATAATACAAAAAATAAGATTATCTGCGATTGACATTCAAGTGCATCCCGCGATTAATACGAATATCTGAATTGGAGTTTCCCAATTCTCACTTTCTAGCTTTTGACAGAGTTCAAAATGTCTTACGCGACCTTGTGGGTGATGAATTATTCCCACTCTACAGCCCTTTTCTCTTGGCTACTCACTAGGGTAAATTCAGATGAGATTCATTCTTTATTGCCACCAGTTCAGACTTTTATGGTCAAAACCCACCTTGCTACACTCATACTCTCAAACTCCTTCAAACTCAACAATACGCTATTCCGCTTAAGTGGACTTATGGGAAAAAAAACTATGAATTTAAATTATTTACTGCAGATGGACGAAAGATTTGACACCGAGCGGCAAAGTGGCATTGAGATAGCGAAAGATGCCTTCCAAAAGCTAAGCAAAGTGTGAAGAAACATGAAATTTCCATTAGAGATAAAGAAAAAAGTGCTGAACTGCTATGTACTATCAGTCTTCTTATATGGCAGTGAATGTTAGACAGTTTTCTCACGGTAGATTTGAGGCAATAGAGAATTGTTTCAACAGAACGATGCCAAGAATTCTCTGTGAAGTGCTAGAACGTTTCTTCTTGTTTGAGACCATTCTTCAAATCTATAAGTCAACCCCCCGTCCTTGCATGGAATATTGCTGTCATATATGGTCTGGTGACCCGCTGTACGACTCAAGGTCATCGACGAATAGGTCCTGATCTGGCATCTCGTCTACAGTCACTTTCTCATGGCAACCGCTCCGACGAGCTACTTTTGCTGGTTCCCAGACTGCATGAATTTAAGCATGCTACTAGGTTGGCATCTCGATCCCAGACTTTCACTTTAGAAACGGTTAAATGTAATTGTCTCTTCTACTCAAACGGCTTCTTCTCTCGCACTTCCTGTCAGTGGAACTCCCTTCCTCTTACTTTCTGATAACTATAATCTTCAAATATTCAAGTGTAATGTCAATCGACATCTTATGATACCTTGATCTAATTTCTCGTCCTTCTCGTTATCTTTCCCCACCAACACGTCTCTTTACTCTTGTTCTCTACCCTCTATAACCCCTTGCGTGCTAGTGGCACTCCCGCCTTGCTAGGGATGAAATGCTTAAAGAAATACAATGGACGAAGGGTGTGAGTAACGAGGAAATTTTGATGAAAATGGAACGCTTATACTTAGAATCAGAAATAGATAATTGAAATTTCTAGGATATATAACGAGGAAAAACGGCTTGGAAAATTTGACACTCACAAGACATTTTTCAAGGCATGAAGAAGAGAGGGCAACATCTAGCAACCTACCTAACGAGATTTTTTTGTGTAAATTGAAGGCAGAATCGGGTAGGGAAGGAATAGCAAACGGCAAAGGATAGGAAGATTTGGAGAGCCATGATCGCCAACGCCCTGAAGAAAATGTAGTGTGATGGATAACAAGCTAGACACAGAATATATTGCTTATGTAATGAATTCGATATTCACTGAGTGACCTACTATCGTGTCCCTACACCAAATCTCATAAATATCTAAACAAACTATTCTCGCAAATGAGTAAAATTGATTGACTGATTTGTTTTTTACGGCTTATCAACCTTTTGCAGATTATTTTAGACCAGAAAATATTTTACATTTTAAACGGTTTTGGAGATTTTAAAGATTTAATTTCTACTGATTAACCCATAGATGGGGAAAGAGAACGATTAATACGTTTCCTAAGGATATTTAAGCATAATTGCTTATAAAGAACCAGACTAGAGTTGGAACTTGTTTCTTCGACTTCCACTTCCATTACACCGCCCGCACATCCTAGTTTACCCCGACTGATATTCCCAATCGGTCACCCATCTAGGTACTAACCAAGCCCGGCTTTGCTTAACTTCGGTGATCGTTCGATAATCGGCGTCTCTTCGTAACATGGCCGTAAGGCAGTATAATCAAACTAACCGATATTGAATAACCTATTTCTATTGATCTATCTCTTGCTCTTTCTCTCTCTCTTGCTCTCCATCTCTCTCTCTCTCTTGCTCTCCCTTTCTCCCTCTTGCTGTCCCTCTCTCTTTGCCTCTCTCGCTCTTTCTCTCTCTCTCTCTCTCTTGTTCTTTCTTTCTCTCTTGTTCTTTATCTCTCTCCCTTTTGCTCTTTCTCTCTTTCCCTATTGCTCTTTCTATCTCTCTCTCTCTATTGCTCTCTGTATTGCTCTTCGTCTCTCTCTTTCCATTTTTCTCTCTGTTGCTCTCCACTTCTCTACCTCTTTCTCTCTCTCTCTCTCTCTCTCTCTCTCTCTCTTTATCTATCTATCTATCTATCTATCCCTTTCAGTTCTATGTCAATTCACGACGTGAGTCTCTTCGCAGCTGCCTCGCTTTTTGTTAAGCTCATCCACACTTAATTTTGTCTTTGTGGTACTTGTTCCTTCATTCATCTACTCAGTATTGTCAGATAGATTACTTTACGCTTTCCTCTACTTTCCTTGCCTTTGATATCTCCTGTGAGCATTAAATTCTCCAAGTCTTCTTTCCTCATCATATGTCCCCAAAACTTTAGCCGTCTTTTTCTGGTTGTTAGAAAAAATTATTTGAGATCATAGACAAAGAACACCATTGGAAAATTCGTAAACTTAAAGAATCAGCACATATACTAGGCCACACAAAAACTCCTGAGCCGACCAAGCATAGAAATGAATACAATATGAGAACCAGTAATAAGAAGTGCCAGAGAAAAGCGATAATAAGAACAAAAATTGCAATATGAGCTCTGGTAAAAACATGAAATGATAACAGCAAAAATTACAATATGAGCACTGGTAAAAAATGGTTGCTGAAGACATTAGGTTCATAATACCCAGAAATTCATACACAGGTGTCCTCAAGAATACATAGCACAGTGGATAAAGGCGTTGGTTAGATCCAATGACAGGACCCAAAACAGTGTGAGTTCAATACCTGGTTAAGGCGGTGGAGAACTTGAAGATAGGAATTAACAGATAACTGACATCCATTTGACCAGAACCGTCTACCCCAGTGAGCGAAATAAAAGGCACCTAAAGAGGACCGGAGTGTACAACGGCCGAAACGTTGTAATAAATATGGCGACAAAGATGAGGAAAATAGTCCGAATAATGTAAATAGTGCAAAAAATTGTTTGTACTTCCTATTAGGCTTCAACGTTTCTCACCTACTCAGCCATTTTTGTTCTTGATCGGATTATCTCATCAATAATGTCCACAATTTCTACACATCCTATTCTACTTAAAATATCCTAATTTGTCATATGCTGTCCATCTTATATATAAAATACAGTGTTTGTGCGTCTGTATGTCTAAGCAACTCCTATACTCCCACTGGTCTGATTTCAATGATTCATAGCTCATTCAAAAGCCCTAGAAATGTTTGGGAACAATTTTCGTTGAGCTCAGATCCAGGACTGCCAGATTATGCGAGGTTAAAATATATATATTAATATATTATAATAGCCATTATCGTTGCTTTCATGCTTAAAGAAGAGTAACAATTAATTTCTTTTTGTATCCAAAATGGCAGTGCACGTTTTATTATAAACTAGCTTAAAAGATGACCTGTCGGACGGCATTTAAGCTAGCCCCTGGGGAGGACTCTTGGTTTGGCCATCATCTCAATAGCTAGGTAGGAGTAAATGCGATAGGCATCAATAAACTACAGAAGAACTCAAAATTGATCGCTGCATTTAAGTATTGAATTAATGTTTGAACTTACATTTTAAAAGTTCAACGATAATTCTTCTGTTGCCACTTAATTTAAAGACAATTTGATGTACGTAGGTCCTTATTTTCTGTACAAACAATTATTTTTATTTTATGGTTGACAGAACAGAGGACAATTTAAAAATAAAATTAATATAGTGTAAAGATGGGAAAATAGAAATTAAAAGTATTTATACATTCAACGCTTTATAATAGCTAATTAAAGTAAAACCTATATTATGGAATATAATATATTTCTCCATACTTATTTTGGGATGTATTTTTTCCACGCTCCTTGGACAGATCTCAGCGAGTTTGTGATTGGGTACTTAATAAGAAGGATGCCATGGTGACGAGAAAAATCGAGAAATGTCTACCAGTGTACACGGATTGAGGTGTGTACGATTAAGTGTCCCGCGCTCATTATTGCATGAGCGAAGCGAATGTATTTTGTCGAACTAGGTGAGACAAAAGGTTGAGGTCGTCGTGCTCACTGATGCATGAACGCGAGCGACCGGCTAGTGTTTCATAAGAAAAAGATTTTGTAATATTCGAAAATATAAAAGAACTCCACACACACAAACACACGCAAACACACACACA